CCGCCTCCAACTAAAATCTCGTCCCGCCCCGGCGCCTCAAGCGCGGTTGGCTTCTCCTTGGTCGGCCCACTCCGCCTGCCGATTGGCTGCGAGCTCCGCCTTTCAGCGACCAAACCTTTCCCCAGCCCCCCCCTTGAACCCGCCCCCAATTAAAATCTGGCCTCCCCTCACCGCGTTCTCGGTTCTGGTTTTGGGGCGCCGGTGAAGGAGGCGGTGGCGTGGCCGAGGTTTTAAAGTCCAAGCGGGGAGCCTGCGCTCCTAGTACGTCTTCTCAGGGCCCATGGAGTTGGGACTCTGCGGGCAGGGCGGGCCCGAGGCCGCGCTTTAGACGGGCCCCGGGGCGGTGGCGTCACAGAGGAGGCCTCGGTGACGTCACACACCGGGCCTCTTGGCAACCTGGCGGGGTCTGATGGCAGGGACGCCGCCCGGGTTCAGCTGCTGGGGCAAGTCTTCCATCCCCCCCGTGGCTTTGCAGATGGGGTAGGCTGCGAGGGCGGGGGGTGGGCCCCCCGAGGGCCACGCATTATGGACTTCGTTAATACTTGCAATATGGTTTTTGCAGTACAATCGCCAACTTGGGTTTTCTTGTATTTTCAAATTTGCCCTTTTCAAAATGTGTAGCTCGTGGTGTTTTTTTTTGCCCCGCCTAAAACCTTAAACTTCAAGAAAAGCCTCCCTTTTAGAAACCAGGAGTGGCAAGAGAGAGTATTTTGTAGGTAACAAGTTTCATTTTCAGCTGTTCTGAGCCTCCATGAACCAAAAAAGAAAAGCAAGTATTGAGGCTCAGCAATGGGAAGTGTTGAGAATGTACCTTTACCTATATCCATTCCGACATTTTTCTTTGCAAGTGTTTCTTTTGCTTTTATCCAGAGTGCAATGCTCCTTTCGATCTCAATTGCTCACATGCGGTTTAATTCTTAGGATATAACTAGACAGAGGACTTCCCTATCCAATCAAAAACCCTTTATGTAATGTTATAAAAAGAGGAGATGTGATTTTTCACCTTTGTTCTCTCTCTCTTGTGAAATCAATAAGAGAATCCTTTTTAGTTGAAATGTTTCAAATAAATCGCAAATCAATGTTTCTGGAGGGGGCCACCATGTTGCAGAAGGAGATATTAGAATCCAGACCCGAGGCTGGATTCACCCATCAAGGCACCACAGCATATCCTTGCATGCTGTGGGAATCCCTTTTTCATTTCTCTATTAAGCTGCTGGGTGGATTAAGCTGCTTGAGGCTCTTTTTTATATAAGAAAATATTTTATATGAAAATTAAAATACAAACTCTAAAGGAAAAAAAGTGTTTTTTCCTCTGCCGTTTGTATTTTTATTTTTTGAATAGTTCCAGCAACACACGGTTTGTCATTATGTATGAACCTATCATATGACCAAAATTTCCATTGCTAATGTGTGTCATTATAAACCCAACATTGCAGATAATAGTGTACTTTCCTGGCCAAAAATGAATGGTCTTTCTCACCATCCTAAGCACCAGCATAAAAATAATCTGCTATGGCTTTTGCCTGGGATGTATTTTTTGCTTCCCAATCTATCCAGCACTCCTGGTGTGTCCTGGTGGTTCCCAAATGAGTTTGCACACATGCGCTCCCTTGAAAGGCTTAGCCGAGCTTTCAGAATACTATACAAACCATTCTTTGGTAGTAAAAAGGGTAAAGCTTTCCAGAGGGGTGTCAAGGTAAAGTTGCAAAGAAGAAATGGGGCAGGAGGCAAAGGCTGGCTGGTTTACACATGAAAGCATTGAGTGGTTTATGTGGATTGTATGCAACTTGATTACCAAGGCTGAGTGAACCTTTTTAATTGCCCCTCAATTTACTAAGCCCAAATTCTGGATTTGTAGAGTTAGAAGTGCCAATAATGTAACACTGAGATAAATTGGAATCCAGAAGAATTTCTCAGGAAATACTGGGAAACATTCAGCTGTTTTGCCATCCTTACAGCCTTTTTTCTTTCTTTCTGGTTTTTTTTTTTTTTTTTTTTGCTTCAGAGGTATTTTTCTTCAAATTCAGGAAGCACATTTTCAGAAGAGCCCTGTAGGTCAGATTTAGGACATAGCCTTTTCTATCTTAGCCTAACGCTTGAAATTGTCTGGAGCATTATTAAGGATTGATGTCTTCATGGTGGTGACAAGATTTTGCCATACCTATAAACAGCTATGTTACTTTCCCCCTACCAGCCCTATGTTACTTCCTGGCTTGGATCAGCCCAGTGTGAGGTCACAAGGAGATTGATGTCTTTAAGATACAGACTGCTGACATTCTCTGCTCCCAGAATTGCATCCTCTGACTTTCTGACTTCATGTTATCAAAAAAGACGATGGAGGCTTCCTTGCTATTCATGTTGCTCTTGGCTTGCACAGCAGGTGAGTGAGAAGAGGCAGTTCCTGCCGCTATGTGTGAATGACCACTACTGGCCAGGCAAACACAATGCGGAGAAAACAGTACCTGTTGAAAATACAATAGCAGCATTTAGCTGGTAGGAATTTGTTTCCCTTCCATGATGCTAAGCTTCCACCAGAGCAGAGGTGGTATTCAGCAGGTTCTGACCAGTTCTGGAGAACCAGTAGCGGAAGTTTTGAGTAGTTCAGAGAACTGGCCAATCCCACCTCTGGCTGGCCCCGCTCCCATCTATTCTCTGCCTCCCGAGTCCCAGCTGATTGTCTGGATCTTCTTTGGTTGCCCTGCACAGAAGAAGGGAGCTGGAAAGCAGGTTAGAGGGGTGGGGAGGGAATGGAGATTTTGCAGTATCTTTCCCTTGCCACGCCCACAAAGCCAGGCCACGCCCACAGAACTAGTAGTAAAAAAAATTGAATCCCACTTCTGCACCAGATGCTTTTTATATTGTACAGGCTAAGCTTCCTTGAGCAAAATCCTGAACACAGTTTGGTTTAGCGTTTGGTGAGGATAAATCAGATAATTAGCTCATCTCAAGTGGGGGAATGACGTTAAACATATTTACAAAGAAAGTCCCTTGAGTTTGGTGCCCCAACAGAATTTACTCCTGGGTATATTCAGGATTGCATCTTTTAAGAGTTTTGTCAACAGTTGCTTAGGTTTGTTGCACCTTTGATAAAGGGTTTATTAAATTTTCTTACAAGTTTCTCATAGACTTTTCCAATTTTCAACTTTACATTGTATCCTGAAAAGCAGCATGCAATTGTTCCTACTACTCAACAGTACAAGGAAACACTACTTGCTTGCCATCCTGTCTTAGTTCAGCTTCTGTTTCTTATATTGCATGTCTACTGTGGCCTATATTCTGTAGCTTCTGCAAATGTTATAGTAGAGTATGAAACAAACTCATTTAAATACTAAACTGATTCTTGCTAACAGAGGTTCAAATGACAGGAGAAATATAATGGCTGTTGGATTAATTTAAATGTTTACCTTCCAATATTTATTAATCTATATTTCTAATAGCCCTCTTAAAAAGTAGCCAAGGTAGCCCAAATAAAATATAAGAGGACCGATTCCTTCAGTCATTCAGTGTTAGGGATGCTATATATGTATATATCTTTGTATTGGTGACTTTTAAGTAAATAAGCATAGGGTTGCCATGGCTGTAAGAGAAGGAGGGTTTTTAAATTTTTTTTATGGCTTTGCTCATACAATATGCTGAGCCAAGTTATTTAAAGACTTAACAGCTGGGTTTGTACAAGATGCTAGACTAGACTAAAATGAGGTGTTTGTGTTCAGGACATTATTAAAAACCTAGGCATGTTACATGTTAGTTAATTGAGCAATCACATTAAGCTATATTTGCTTAGGCATTGTGATAGGAGTACACAGGAACTGTATTTGATTAAACTGGGTTCAGTATATTGAATGAAGACAATGCGCTATTTAAATCCATACAAATAATGCCAAGAAGGCAAAGTGGCCTCTGTTTTTCTCCTGCAGTGGGGAGGGAATCAGGGACAGGCTGTAGATTCAGTCTCCCCCTTACTCACAAAGTGACACATGGCAGAAATGGTCTTTTCTCAGAGAATTGGGCTAAAAAAACTGTTCACACATAAAGATACACATATTTTTATGTCACACTTTCCTAAAAACTAGTGCTATAACAGTGGAATTCCAAAGATCATACCGGATAGGGAAATCGGAGATTGTATGAATGTATGTATGGTGGGGACAGCAGCAGAAAATGGCTCCAATTGAAAAAAAAATAGGAAAAACATGATCATGTGAAAGAGAACAACAATGAAAATGGTTGTGTAATCTTGAAATGTTTTTTTAATGCATCTGAGATGTATTCTTTCTTTCTCAGTAATATGCTTCCTTGACAACCTCTAATGAATTGTCAGCTATTTTTGCTGTTCAGAAATGTCTTAAGAATTGAATGGTTGTACCCCAGCACAAGCGTTACTGGAGTATTTTTGAGAAGCTGAAGCTGTAAACCTAATTGTTGTGCCCTTTTGTTTGCCTCAGGTGCTAAGTTTCACTTTGCTTCCTATTATGCTGATCACATGGTGCTCCAGAAGGAACCATCTCATGCTATCATATGGGGCTTTGGAGATCCTGGTTCTAAGGTGATGCTGACACTCTCCCAGAATCATAGCATTGTGACCAAAATGGTACAGATTGAAGGTAACCCATAATATTAACAATATGTACATACCTTCCTTGTCCCAATGCTCATGCATAGAATGTAGAGTAATAGAGTTAGAAGTGATCTTGGAGATCTAGTCCAACCTCCTGCCTGTAGCAGGAGACAAATGCTGGACAAATAGCTGTCTGGTCTCTTAAAGATCTCCAGTGGTGGAGCACCCACAATTTCCAGGTAAGCTGTTCCACTGATTAATTATTCTCATGGTCAGGAAATTTCTCCTTAGATCTTGGTTGGATCACTTTAATGATCCTCCATCTGCTACTTCGTGTCCTGCCCTCAGTGCTTTGGAGAATAGGTCAATCCCCTTTTCTGTGACCCTCAATTACTGGAAGACTGCGGAGGACTTCCGGTTTGTCGGCTTCGCGAGCGGCAGGGATTCGCGAAGCTGCGCGATCCCTGCTGCGCTAGCCGCTTTTGGGGCTCCGATCCGGACGGGTACGGAGCTAGGCTGCCCTGCAGGGGCAGCTGAAGGTAGGGGGGATCCGGAGAGGGGTTTGGGGGTGTTGCAGACCCCCTCCCCGGCCGGCAGAACCCCCTCTTCCCAAGATGGTGCAGCGGCGGTCTGTAATGGCCGCCACAAAGAAGCTGGCAGCCGGGTAAGAATGCGCAGGAGGAAGTGGAGAAAGTTTTTGAAAGGAGAAAGTTTTTCTTGGTTCCTAGGACTCTAAGACATATTTAACAAAATTCCTGAAAAGTATGACTTTCTGAATGATACCTTCTAGAAGAGGAAAAAAGCGGCAGTTTGATGGTGCTGAAAGGAAAGCTTACCCTCTTTTCCTACGGAATAAATAAGTGAATATTAAGAAACCTATTTTTTTTAGGTGAAAACTGGCTTTAAGCGATGAGTGGGAAGAGAGAGGACTAAAAAAAAAATATTTGTATGCTAAGACTTTGTTGGAGGAGATGCCTTAAGGATTTGAAGACTAAAATATATTGCAATAAGATTTTAAGAAACAGATTTGGACTTTCTTTTTCTCTGATTGATACTACCCCAGGAGGAGAAAGTGAGAACTCTGCCTTGGTTTGGACTGATTGATAACTTTGGGACTGTTTTATTTTTTCTTTGGAATATTCTGGTTGTTGTAAGAAGAAAGAAGGGGAAAAGAAAAGAAAAGATTTATAATGGCTCTTTCTATTGAGGAACTGAGAAAAGATTATGAACAAGCAAAAAAAAAATGGTAAAGCTGGTTTGAAAGAAGCCTTCCTTTTTTTAGAAATGGCGCTTATTAACTATCAACAAACATTACAACAGATGAAGACAGCAGAAGAAGAAGGAGAGGAAGCCATTTTTAATAAATTTCAGAACTCGGCCAAGAAAGAAGGAAGAGGGAAAGGAAGAGAAATAAAGGACTTAAGATTTAAAAAAACACTTAAGAAAGGGAAAAATAAGGTGCAAAATCAATATAATGATAGTAAACAAAAGGGAAAAGGAATACGACAGAGAAGGGAAGCCAGTAAGGCAGAGGCTAGAAGAAGGGGGGGTAGAAAGGTTTGTTGGGAGAAGAAAGAAAGGGAAAAGGTGGAGAAAAGCTACAAAGTTTTGAAATTAAATGGGAAAAAAGGAATCTTTTTTAGGGATAAAGGATAAAGTATAATTTCTTCAAAGAGATTTTGCAAGGTACATAAGATGATATTGTAGTATTGTATTAGAAATAGAAAACTTAAATGGTTTAAGAGTTGATAAGAGATTAAAATGTTGAAATGTTTAATAATGATTGGTTTTAAAATTTAATAATATGAGGGGAGGTTTAGAATATTGAGTTTTAATTAAAGAGTTTAATAAGATTATGGTATTGATGTTATTATAAAATTTCTATTATAGTATTTGTTTTTAATATTTAGATCTATTGTTTAACTATGTATTTAATTATTCTGGATGTACTATTCAGATAGAATGTACCAAGCAAAATCGGATTGGGTATTGGGCGTTATTTTAAAGGTTAATTTGATTAATTTAGGGGGGAGATAGAAAGGCATCATACTCTGATTAGTGATTTCAGGAGAAACTTCTTTTTTTTTATAAGGAACGAGACAAAGGGACAATAAAGAATGGACAAAAGATACAAATATAATGACTCAAATTAGATGATTAATTAAGATAGAATTAAGAAGAGTGAAATATGTGGAGAAGTTAATATAGAAGACTTAGAATGGTAAATAAAATAAGTAATGATATGTAAGATGAGCATGAATATAATTGAAGTCCATAAAGAGAGAGATACCTGGGTCCAAGTTACTTTCCAAAAAGATTTTTTTTATGTTTTGTGTGTTGTGTGTATATGTTTTTTTGGGGGGGGAGAATTAATAAAACCTTGCAGAAATATAGAATGAGAATAATGGTAACTAAGTCAGAAAGAAATAGATGAAATAATAATAATAAAATTGAATAAGAGTAAAGAGAAATAAAGAGAAACTGGATAAGAGGTTTTTGTATGTTTATATGGAAATGGTTTAAAACAGAATTATAGTTTATCTGACTTGTTAAATTTATAATGGAAAAAGGTTTAAACATGTAATGGATAATGATGATTTGTGTGTTTTGAAAATTAATAAAACTTGTTTTTTTAAAAAAAAATTACTGGAAGACTGCTCTCATAGCATTCCTAGTCCTTCTTTTCATTAGACTAGACATACCTGGTTCCCTTAGTTGGGAATGTTAGTTGCCAAAATGAGGCTTCCAGCTAGGATCATCTTGGACTTGATTCCATTCCTCTATGGGAGGCTGTATATTTCCTTCTTACATTTCAGGCTATCAGGTTTAACTGCTGCTCTGTGCAGGAATCCAAATAAAGTTACGATTGTGGCACCTGAGTGAAGAGAACTGCTCTACCAAATGTTCAGCAGAATGCCAGGGAGAAAAAATATGGCAATAAATTGTCAGTTTCTTACAAGAAAGTTGAACTTTGGTTATAATACAATAAAGAAACTGTCAGAGGTTTGGTCGATTTTAGGAAAGATACTGATCTCTAGTTGTACTGCTCAAAACCAAAACCACAAGGGACTGACATGGGAGTACCCCTTGACCCATCACTATGGATGAACTGATGGTGACAGGAAAGCTGCCCTTTGCCAGCTTCATTGTGTTTTCCAGCTGTATTTCTTCCTTAAGATAGCCAGCCATGTCCCAGCGAAGGCTCCAGTTTGCTTTTAAAACAGTCTAGTATAAAATGCTGCTGTTTAACAATCGACTTTGTCCTTCATTTCTGTTTGTTGCCATTTGTACCAGGCTTGTTTTAAAGAATTGGCATTGCCCTTTCAATACTCTGAATCAGTGTTTCTCAAATTTGACAACCTTAAGATGTGTGGATTTCAACTCCCAGAATGCCCAAGCCAGTCAGGCTGCTCGAAATCAAACATCAGAAATTTGAGATCCTTCAAATGTTTCGTTGGACAACCTACAGCAGTCTCAGTCAGCCAGGGCTTTATTAATGGTTGCTGGAAGATATTGTAGGAAGCATCTGGAGAGCCAGGTTCCCATCAGGATTCTAAATTTCTTAGAAAATGTTCCCTAATCGCCTGGTTTCAGCCTTAGCAGTTCTGTTCTTTGCTTTTCACGTCTCCGTGAATTGGCAGGTGCAAATGAGTGGCTCATCGCAATGATGAAATCATAATTGTAGGACACCTTCCTGGCACAGATCTTCTTTGCATGTTCCTCATCATCTCTAATGACGTTTTCTGCCCAATTTTATGGTAAACATCCATCTATAACAGGGGTCCCCAAACTTGGCAACTCCTGGCTGGAGAATTCTGGGAGTTGAAGTCCACAAGTCTTAAAGTTGCCAAATTTGAAGACCTGATCTATAAGAAAATAAAATTGATATTAATACATTCATTACTTTTGAATAGTTTCATGTTGATATGAAGCCTGGGATATAATTTGTTTTTTCTTCTATCAATATTATCAGAAAACTGTGAGACTTGGAAAATTATGCTGGATCCTGTGGCCCAAGGAGGCCCTTATACTATAGAAGTACACCAGTACATCAAGGAAGAAGTGTCCAATTTGTCATTAAAAGATATCTACTTTGGAGATGTTTGGATTTGCAGTGGACAGAGTAACATGGAGATGACCGTTTCACAGGTGAACCACATTCCTATAAATTCCAGGTATGGTTTAAGGATCATGCAAGAGAGGGATCAAATGATAAAGCATTCTGAGAACTGATATCGAGCCTTATGGAGACACAGGATGAGAATTACTTTTGTTAAAAGGATATTTTGGGCTTATTCTTATGATAAACTATTCTGTGATACTTAGGCTCTCAACCTAAAGTCCAGATTGTGATTCATACATTCTGCCTTAACCATGATCTATTCTATACTAATTGATTGTTTTTGGTTTACTTGCTGTAACCTGTAACTCTGTGGCAGTGGTGGGATTAAAAAAAAATTACTACCGGTTCTGTGGGCATACCTTGGTGGGCATGGCAGGGGAAGGATATTGTAAAACCTCCAGTCAGAGATGGGATTTGCCAGTTCTGCGAACTACTCAAAATTTCTGCTACCGGTTCTCCAAAACTGGTCAGAACCTGCTGAACACCACCTCTGCTCTGTGGGTTATAGAAAACTAGATTGAAAACGATCTTACAAGTTCTAATTTCCAATACAAATGAAGCAGATTTAGGAGTAGGTGCTTCATTTTCTTTTTTCATTCACCAAGGGCATGTAGGAACATCTTTTAAAAAAAAACAAAGGGGAGGATTATACAGGTGATCCTTAGTTAACAATCCTAATTGGGACTGGTGATTCCAGTGCTGGTCATTAAGCAAAACATCACGTGACGATGGTGACTTATAACAGCAGTTCCAGGTATTCCAGTTTGGTTGCAAAATGAGACATCATATGACAACCTCCTACCAGCTTCCCCGTTTACATTGCTTATCAGAAGCTGGCTGGTCACAAATGGTGATCACATGATCACAGTCACTTTTTTTATTGCCATCATAACTTTGGTCACTAAACAAACAGTTGTTAAGTGAGAACTAACAATACATAGTAGCTTATGACTGCAAGCATACCTATGCCTAGTTTAGTTTCTTTTTAAATAAGGAAATGTTGAGACATTTATGTGCTAGAATATCAACACGGCAGGAGAGAAACCAGCAGATCACAGCTGATCCTGGCTTGCTCTGTTGCTTACAAGTGTGAATGTACTTTATAATACATTTGTGTTTAATTGAAATTTCAGTGGAATCTTCTCTGCTTCCTAGATATTCAATGCTAGCAAGGAGATGGAAGATGCATCCAAGTATCCCCTTGTGCGGATATTTTCCACTGCCCTTATTCAGTCAGAAGTGGAACTTCAAGACCTTGGAGGTGTCAACTTGCAGTGGTCCATTCCAACGGCCAGTAAGAGCCTGACTTAAGTCAAACTCCTAGCAAGAAATCAGCAGCATCAATAAGATATTTTTCATGTTATGGTTGATTGGTGGGCTAAGAACTGGCCACTTTAGTTGGATAACGGCAGCTTGGCCAGCACAACATATTTGGAGGAATAGCAAGTATTGGAAGGCTAAATGGTGTGAGGATTAGGCTCAATTATTTGAATGGGTCCTTCATACTTGATTTTTTTACAATGCATATTTTCTAATAAAGATAATAGTTGTATTATTTCTGAAGCCTCAAAATGTTTTAAACTTTCAGAAAAATATTCCTTTACACAGGAAACCTGGGCCACGGAGACTTCAGCTACTTTTCTGCAGTATGTTGGCTGTTTGGCCAGTATTTGTTCGAGAAACTCAAGTACCCCATAGGGCTGATAGATACCTCCTGGGGAGGGACCCCAATTGAGGCCTGGTCCTCCAAGAAGGCCTTGAATGAATGTGGTCTGTTAGACTATATTGAAAGGTAAGAAAAACTGACTCGTGTAACTGTTTTTTTAAATTAATCTGAGACTTTCCATCCTAGAAAATGGGTTTGCATATTGGCTGAGCTATGGCTTTATTTCACTGTGATTTATCTCCAATTGGCCAAGGTTCTGTTCACATGCTCTGCTATAAACCTTGCTTTGCAAACCATCCTGGCTATGTTTGCACATTGCATTAAGCTAAAAATCACCATTTATAGCTTAATTCTCGGAAAGAATTGTATGACACTACAATCTCCTAACGTCTTTTCTCTGTGTAACTATGACATCTGCCTATTCTAGTAGTTTATTGCTTCATTCAGGATGAGTCCAATGAAATAGAAAATCAACTTGGGTGCAGTGAAAATATGCAATCATCCATTTCAATCCATACCAGTTAAAAGGGGCCAGTTTTCCTCACAACGAATTAGAGGAGTACATGAAAGGAACCCATAATTTAATTATGTCTCTCGTTCCTCCAACCCTACAATCTTTGAGTGCTACCATTCAGTGTGTGTGTGATTATGTGCCCTCCTTATGTTGCAAATGAGCTACTGCACTTTTATGTGTATGGCAAGAGTTAAAAGGGCTACGTTCCAGAAAAACATCAGTTGGAGAAAGCTATTTTACTAAGAAAAGCTTCTCTTTTTTTGCCATAATGAACTAGGTCTGATCCTTGATGACATTAGTGGTCAAAAATTCAGGTGCCTGTTTTGGATGTTTTTCATGAAACAGAAAAAAATGAAATTATGAAATTGATGATTAGAAAAATACTAGATAATGGAAAAAATGAAAGTCTGTGTTGTAACCTTACAGTAAGAGGTTAATTCCAGGTTATAATTGTATCTGTTGTAACAGGCATTTGAAAGACATTTGCATTTCTTTTCTTTTTTTTTTCTTTTTCTTTTTGCACTTTTGGCTTTGCATTTTCTTTCAGTTCTTTTATTTCTATTTCTAATATTAGTTCTTATCTTTTTAGTTTAAAAACTGTAATAAAGTTATTTGTAAAAGTAATTCAGTCATTGTGACTACCAAGCTGGTTGTTGTTTTTTTACAAAGAAAGCTCCTGATCCTTCAGGTTCTACCTGGTGAGAACTCCTTACTCATTATTTTTCTTGCTGTCTTACAGAAGTCCACCCTTGTACCTCGATGCTGGTCCCCGAGAAGTATCCGTGCTGTGGAATGCAATGATTCACCCTTTCATCAACATGACCATCCAAGGAGTTATATGGTATCAAGGTATGTTTAAGTACCAGTGCAAGATTGGACTGGACTGATGCTGCCTTTGGTAATGTATTGGACCTTGGTTTACTGCAGGGGAAGCCAACACTCTTATGAACACTGATATGTACAATTGCACCTTCCCTGCACTCATTGATGATTGGCGAAAAGCTTTTCATGAAGGATCCGATGGTCAAACCAACAAGCAGTTTCCCTTTGGCTTTGTTCAGGTAAGTATACGATGGAAATGCACTCCTGGACAGGTTATTTGGTTATTAAGGTTATTAAATTTTGATGTCATCTTTTTCAAGATGAAGAATCTTCCTAAATAAGATGTCCCGCAAACTTTTGCTATGAATGTTTTATGGTAGGTTGTCACCATAAAAATGCAAGGGGCATGTGCAGAAAAGTGGTATTTTGGTAAATCAGTCAGATCTAGCCTTAGACTTCTGTTCCTAATTATTTCTGAAATCCTTAATCAATGATAAGTACTGGCTCATATTTCCAGATGCATGCGTTCCTCTTCCAAATGTCAGCTAGACTCGCACTTTGCTCTAAGTTGTAGTCAATTTTAACCATAGATTATTGAAAAAGTCAGAGGACTGGTTCAGATGACCAAGCACGTGACTGGATTTACACATATAGTCAGCCAAAACTAAACAGATTATGACTGATTGTGATGCATGATCCATACATACTGTTTCAGACCACAGACCTCAGCCCCTGTCTTTTTCAGCCATAGAGAACAATGCATCTGTACCTGTTAAGCAGCAATCTTAACCATTAGGCCTCTAATAATGCATGTAGTTTTATGAAGCCACTGCTTTGTCATTCCCCAGTTTGTTGTTTTCCAGATGTGTTGGTTTTTAATTCTCATAATTCTTTAGACAGCATCCCATTTTCCTGACTATAATTCTTATTCCTGAGAACTATAAGAGTTGATCCACTTCATTTGAAAGATACCATGTTGAGGATGGCTGCCTAATATTGAAACAATGAAATCATACAAAAGGTTTGATTTTCCCACTTGCTGCTCTTACTGTGCAGAAACCCAAGGATTTTGGGGCCAAGAAGGATCGTTTGGACTGTTTCCATTCTCAGATTATGTATGTTTCTGCAATCGTAACTGAGTGAATGATGGTTATTAAGGGTAAAGATCAAATCTTCCATAGCTGCTCTGTTCGTGATTTGTATCCGGGACTTTCAGTTTAAGAAGGAACTGACTAGAATGACAGATAAGTTTTGAAATCCATGGCTACCTTTTCTTGATGATTCCCATTCTTTACCCACTTTTAGTTATGTACAGATCAGCATGTGCAGATAAGCGGCAAATTTCCACGTATTCGGTGGCATCAAACTGCAGACTACGGCTATGCCCCTAATAAGAGAATGTCCAATACTTTCATGGCTGTTACCATAGATCTTGGTGATAATGAATCTCCTTATGGCAGGTACATTTTAAAATTGCTTGAGATCTGTCCTCTAATCTTCTGGAAGTTTTCTTCTCCCATTAAAAAAATGCTTCTGTTTTCTTTTGAAGACTGATACTGCCTTGTGGTCATATCAGTCTTGGTAGAGGGAGTCAAAGATTACAGCATCATAAGGAGAGGGAGAAACAAGCAGGTGGAATATGTGAGGAAACAAATGATGTGTATGTGGGAGGAGAAAAAAGTAGATGGGAAAACAGGAGACTGTGACATTGATTTGGAGGGTAAACCAAAGCTGGTTGAAAGAAGGATGGGTAGCATTCATGTCTCTTGATCAGAAGCACAGCTGAGACTGGAAGAGCAGGCTGTCTAGTACAGGGGTGACAACTTTTAAGACTTGTGGACTTCAACTCTCCCATTTTTTTCCTGGCCATCATGGCTGGTTGGGGAATTCTGGCAATTGAAGTCCACAAGTCTTAAAATAGCCAACGTTGGAGACCCCTAATCTAATAAATAGTACTAATTGCCAGTTCCCCCAAAAAGTGACTGTTACCTTATTCTAATAAAAGTGCTAAATGCTCTTGGGCCATCTGAAGGATTTAACAGATTTTTTGGGAGGACAATCTATTGTGGACTAAAGTTGTTATTCTCTGATGAAATGGGTTTTATCCCATGGGAAAAAGGAATTGCACTGTAGTTTAATAATGTCTGAAGCCTGAGATTGACTCTCAACAATGAGAGCCAGAATCAAGAAGAGAGGGAGAGGGAGGAGGAGAGAGAGAGAGAGAGAGAATGCAGATTGTAAACAGAAAAGGACAATAAAAGAACGACATGAGAGAGGCTCTAGAAGCATTTGGCTGGCATTTATTAAATTTGTATGCCATCTATCTCTCTATCAAGCAGCTTTGATATCCATATTCAGATTTCTTGTTCTTCATGAAATGACACCTTTACTTCCAGCTTTCATTTGCAATATCGAAAGCTGCCAGCTGGAGAGCCTTTTAAAATATGAGCATGGAACAAAAAGAGAGTCTTTGTTCCAATTGAGCCCTCTCATCCCTTTTCTTTGTCCTTCAGCATCCACCCCCGAGATAAGCGGACTGTGGCCTATCGGTTGCATCTTGGAGCATTGGCAGTAGCTTATGGGGAGAAAAGTATAATCTTCCAGGGTCCCTATCCTCGGAAAGTGGAAGTGAATGAAACCCATAGGCTTCTTAATATCACCTTTGAGGAATGTGTTCAATTGCGTCACATGGACAACAAGACGTTTGAGGTAAAAGATGGGGAAGAGGTGTTGACTTGGGATTACAGCAGTTAGTGTCCAATACATCTAGTTAGCTACCTGGATGCAGGAGGATTCTCTATGCCTTGAATTATAGCCCGCTGGCCATTTATTTAAATGTAGCTGCTAAGCCTATCTATGTATGTGTTCAGCATATGTGGCCTTGTTAAAAGTTAGAGAAAGAAAAGATGGGGCTAGAGCAGTGTTTCTTAACCTCAGAACTTTAAAAAGCACGGACTTCAACACCTAGAATACCCCGGCCAGCATATGTGGCAGGGATATTCTGGGAGTTGAAGTTCACAAATCTTAAAAGAGTTGCTGAGGTTAAGAAACATTGGGCAAGAGGAAGGGAGAAACAACACCAGAAAGACAGGTTGTGAGAGGGAATTTCCTCCCAAATTCTGAAAGTGTTGTCTATTATCTTCTGTTGTGTAGGAAGCAACATGCTAAACAATTACCTACTTGTCATCCTGTTAAGTGGCATTCAGCTATGGCAAGCTTTAATGAATTATAATAATACATTGTCCTGCACATGTTCCCCTAATCCTTAACGTAGAAGGTCACTGCTGTATCTTTTGTGAGATTAATAGAAACTTCAAGATTAAAAGGATGAGGTTTAGACTGGGGGAAATGACACAGGTAGAGGTAGTAACTAAGGACTAAAATGTTTGTTCCTTAGTCTTCCTCACAAAATAATGCCAAGCCCTCAGCAGTTGTTGCTTTGAAAGATGCTGAATCTGCCATTGAAGCAATCTCTCTCTCATGCCTTTTTGCAGGTGTGTTGCTTGAATCAGGGAACATGCAGTTGGAAACCTGCCTCCATTGTGTCGTCCTCTTCCTACTCGGTAATCCTGCAGAACCCAACCTGTTCAGATGGCATAAAGGGCTTGCGCTACGCCTGGTCTGAATGGCCTTGTGAATACAAACAGTGTCCCATTTACAATCTACAGGAATTGCCTGCCCCTCCCTTCATTACATTTTCCCAAAATAACCCTGCATGGATTTTGCTGTGAGTAAGCTGAAAGGAGAAAGAGGAATCAGCAGCTTATTTTGCGGACAAAAACAAGAAGCGTGGAGCACAGCTGCAGCTTACTTTCCTTAAAGTAGTAAACTACTCAGGTTGATGACTGCAGGAAAAAAAAACTTAAAATGAGCAACCCAGTTACTTACTTCCCAGAAAGGTCATAGTAGGAAGGGTGGAACAGATGTGGGTGGTTCTTACTCTTGCTGCCTACCTGAGGTGCCATAATAACTGGAATTATTTTGTAAGTACTTTACTAGAAATCAAACCACTTCTAAAACAGTCCCTGGTTACCTGCACACAACCAAGAGAGCCAGGATTCTGAATGACAAGGCATGATGGGTGATCAATAAAAGATTCCTCTGGGAACATTGATTTTCCAGTGCATATTTAAACCTAAGTCCTTCTGAATTTAGCAGGACTAGCTCCCAAGTACAGATACAAGTTGGATGGGCCAATTGTAAGATGCCATACTGGTCCAGCCATTTGCTCTTCTCTTGTCTCCAGAGGATCTGCAGAGGAGTGTTACAAGGAAAGCAGGAAACACTCAACATTTTCCCCCTCCCACTATAATAGGAGTAAGCCTAATACAAGCCACAGCTTTGTGCTAAAAGGAATGGCTGAGCTATGGCATTCCAGATGTTGCTAGATGTCAATTCCTGCCAAGGTGAATGATGTTGGCAGATGCATTAAAGCGATATCTAGACTGTGTATCTTATCTGCCATAGAGTGAACTATTATTGACCAGATTAAAATCCGGGTTTTGGGTTTCATTGTATTCCAAATCCACATTATGTAGTACTACCACTTGCAGGAAATAATTCTTGCAGCAAAAAACCCCCCTTTCAAATAGGAACTGTTACATTAAAAGCACAATGTCGCTTTACAAAAATAAGAACGTAGAAGTATATTTCTTTTTTCAAGCAAACTCCCTGGCTTCAGCCAAAAGCCAGGAAGGTTTTCCCTATGTTGGGTTTGGATCAACTAGATTTCCTCACTTATATATGTATGTTGTATGTTTGTCTTAGAAGAGCAACCTGGCAAACAGGGTTGTGTTAACCAAAGTAGAAAATGGGAAACAATTGTTTTGCAGAGCTGTTCCCTGGATCAGAGTGAAATGGTGGCTGTTGGGTGTACTGTTTAGACCAGAGATCTCCAACTTGGCAACTTTTAAGACTTGTGGACTTCAGCTCCCAGAATTCTCCAGACAGACAGGCAAATCCCTGAGGTTTCCCAGTGTATAAGAAGAAATAATCATGGATTGATCTGTTTTAAATAACAAAGACTTGAGGGCAAGAGAAGAAAGATATTTTATGTGCTAGATTTATTTCAGCTAGAGGATTCCAGATGGTAGAGATTATTTGACTTCGCTCTTGGAAAACTAACTTCTGGCATTGGGTTGTGGAATATAGATGGGTGAATCTATCAGTTTCAGTGTGTTGTGGATTCTTTGTTTCATTGATTTAATGATTTCAAATGTCCCATTTCCATATTAGGTATTTTTTTAAAGCTGGAATCAAAATTGGCATTTTATTTTTAAATCCGTGCAATCATTTTTCAGTTTGAGCTAAAGTGTATATTTCAGTGCAATAATTGGTTTTTTCCTAATAACTGCTGTTTTCACTAATACTGGCATTTTTGTACACTTTCCCCTTTTTATAAATAGATGAGCTTTGCAAAATTCAGAGAAGTTGATACTTCAAAGTAGAAGTAAGTTTCAGCTTGTCTCTTGATCTGACAATGCAGAATTAAGTTTATAATTAAATATGGACCAAGTGACTTCTCCATCCATCCTTACTGTGGAACAGCTGTCACTCCTGGATTGATCTTGTCCCTCATGTAGCAGAGTAAGATTGACCTATGACAAGGGTGGGCTGAATGTAGATGGAGATATACTTCAGATTACCCATAGGAGAGGGGTCTCTGAGGTCCATGATTTAGACGGGTTTCCTAAATTAGGGAGCAAGTAGGAGGTGTGTCTGAGAATTTCAGTTGTGATTCTGAAAAAAAATAATCCCTGGGTGGAATATTCATTTAAAATGTTTTGCAGTGCTGTGCCTATATTTTTGAGCCCTCGTATGGCTCTTTTCTTTGTTTAACAAATTTAAGGGTTGGAATGAAAAAGCACAGTGTTAACATTCCCTATAATTACATGGCTGTTTGAGACAGCCAGGGCAAATACGGCAATTTAACTGCAAATGAAAGGATATGGAGTGTTTGCATGTAATACCCATTCTTTTTTTAAAAAAATCAAGTCATGCTTAATTTAATGGATAGTTATACCCTAGATAAAAATATCCAAAATGAAATCTGCAGACAACAGCAAGATATATGTTTGTCTATAGAATAATTCTTTGAAAATGAATCCGTAAGCGTCTGGCATGCATCTCAAATTAATCCCCAAATTTCTATGCAGAACAACTTCCAAGGAAAAAAAATATTCATCATTTGCATTCATTCATTCAAAAGTATGCAGTTATTCAGCACACACTTATGTGTAAGTTAATATGCAAGGAGTGATGATTTTCTATCTAAAAGCATGGATATTTGCCTAGCAGTTAGAATCACATTACATGGAACATTGTAGTAATTAGCGTGTGTATCTGGGAGTAAACTCCAAACACTGTACAGGTAGTCCTTGACTTACAACAGTTCGTTTAGTGACCGTTCAACATTAACAATGGTACTGAAAAAAGAGACTTAAGACATTTTTCACACTTAACCATTGCAGCTTCCCATGGTCACATGATCAAAATTTAGATGCTTGGCCACTTATATTTAAATAAATAAATAAATAAATAAAGTCAATTGGAGAAGCCAGCTTCACTTAACAAAGGTATTACTTAACAACTGCAGTGATTCACTTAACTGTGGCAAGAAAGGTCATAAAATGAGGCAACATTCATTTAACAACTGTCTCGCTTAGCAACAAAATTTTAAGGCTCAATTGTGATTGCAAGTTGAGGACTACCAGTTATGTATTTAAGAGTAAACTGGAGCAGGGCCTACATTTGATAAAATCTTTACAAATGTACAGAAAGAGCCAGACAAAAATTCTTGGTTTACAATTGCTCTTCTTTCATAGTTCTAGAAATCTATGGGTGTTTAGATTGCTGTGGTTTGCATAGGTAAATATTTTAGATAATGATCCTGTACCATGTAAAAATGAATGAGCTATACTTGCATTTGTTGTGCCAGTTGGTATGGTTGTTGTTGTTGTTGTTGTTGTTGAGGAAATTATCTGAAATAGCAAAGTGGAAGTATGATTTCCACCCATGATTAAAAGTTACAAATTGTCTTTCTGATTTAAGTAGTCTCCATTAAAACAATCCCCTCTTGCCTAGAAGTTTGATTATTTAATAATTCACCCTGGTGGGAATTGTATAAAGGAATTTGATGCCACAGATTTAAGTTTAGGTCTTCCCTCTAATAATGTGTCGTCGTCATCTTTTAATGACCCCATAATCCTTTGCGGGGAGGAGTCTGGGCAAATGAATGGAGCTAGCAGTGTTTAATGGCCGGATGCCCTTCCTGTCGCCAGTGCAGAGTTTTGTTCAGCAGATACATTCTCATTGTGCCCAGAGAGAGAAATAAATGCCTCTACCTAGGATCGAACTCACAGCCTCCTGATTGTGAGACAGGAGCTCCACTCTAGGCCACCATACCACTCCCCGCTCTAATAATGTATGGGCTCCAGCATATTTTTCTCACAAGGTCTAGACCGGGGTGTCAAACTCGCATCGTCATGTTGCTGTGACATAATGTATCGTGACTTCTTTCCCCTTTGTTAAAATGGGCGTAGGCATCGCCAGCGCATGATGCATCCAGCCCACAGGCCGTGAGTTTGACACCCCTGAGCTAGATAAATGCAGATAGCTTCAGGATGCTTCCAAGCAGAGCTATTTGCAAAAAAAAAAAAACCTTCAAGAGAAAAAGATTTCTGGTTAAACACAAGGGTGACAATCCTGTCCCTGAATTGCCCACTCTAGTTCCTTGCCCTCCTCTAAATATGCCCATCCTTGCTATAAATAATATAGTGTGTTTTCTTTTATATGTTTGTAAGTCCAAGATCTTATTCTCTATATGAAAAAAAAAGAAAACTAAGCTATGATTAATTTTGACAGTTGATGCATACGTTCTTTTGCGTAGATCATTTCAGTGCCTTTATGCTTTGATATCTCACATGAGAATGTAAGGTTGTACCTTTCTCTCCATGTTGTCACACTTGTTTATATGTTGCCTTTCCACTGAGCATTGAAGGCAGTCTGATTCAATTACCTGTGAGATTCTGTTAATGGATTTGCTAGACAATTGATCTTCCTTGTTAGTGTTATTTATACCTGCTATAATTCATGATCGCTTTGCAGCAATTTGGCTGCTTATCAAAACTATCCATCTAAAACACAACACCCATGTCGCTGCTGAATGCTGAAGAGAAGAGCATTAGCTTAATTGTATTGGATTTCTGTCTTCATTTCTTCCCAGGAACAATTTAAAAGGTTGGTCTTAAACTTTAAGAAAGCCAGTTTGGTGTCATTGTTAAAGGCACAGGGTTAGAAATTGGCCTTAGCCTTAGCCCCACATTAGGAACTAAACTGTGGGGACTTTGGACCAGTCCTTCTTCGTGAGCCCTGGGAAGAAGGCAAGAGAAAATCACGTACAAAAATGGTGCAAAGAAAACACCTTCAGGAAGAAGTCTCTATAGTCAGTCTCCTAAGATTCAAGTCTGACATGAAGGCACCAAGTACAAACTCCCCCAAAACCCCAGCCCCTAATATTTAAAACCATAAATTATTTAGAACACAGAATTTTCTCTGAATACTCTGCTTCTGGTTGAACTTGCGGCTCAGCTCTGATAAGTCAACTAGTGAGTACAAGAAGCACGAGCCTCATTCATACGTTGTACTTAAACCACTATGTTTGGCTTTGGCTCAGCATGTTTTTAACACTTATTTTTTTAAAAAGGGGGTCGTGGCTATCTAAGCTGATTATAATTTTATATAGTAAACAATGGGTGAATAGACCTGTGAACCTAATCACTGGTCTTTATGATGATAGTGCCAAGTTTAAAGAATATAATTTTAAATCAATCATCCAAAGTTGTGTAACATTGAAAAGATGATTCAGCTTTATCAGTTTCAACCAGCTTTTAAGCTTCACTTTCTTGTGTAAAGGAATTAAGGTGCATTTCAAACTGTTTCCATCATGGATTGTGTGCATCCACTAGTTTAAAAATGCACGAGGTTTATTTTTTATATACTTCTTAGTGATTTCAGAGTAGAAAACTTGAGATAACAAAAGTCTACTTTTACAACAAGGATCTTATAAGCTTAAGGAAAGCAGCAAAAGATCTAAAGGACCAGAAGTGTTGACGTTGTCATAGAGGAAATATAAATCTAGCTTTATAAGAAAGTGAGACTGTAAAAAATGCAAAATTTAGGGTTCCATTAGGTAACCTGCATGCTTATATTTATTATAAGGGTGAAACTCATGGATGTAATACCAGAAAACGAACAGTTGCTTGCCTTCCAAAAAAGAATAAATAAAGATGACCCAAAATACACCCAGGGAAAGGTCTTAGTAGCCTTTCTTTACGCTCAGTTCTCTTCACTAGTTCCATTTTTTTCTGCTGTTTTGCTGCTCTATCGAATCCATTCCTGAGTCAGTTTTCTTTGGTTTCCAAAATAGATTTCATTTCTGGTATAAAAGAAAGAAAGAAAAGTTTAAAATGATGCATTCCTAGAATGAGTTCCTAGATTGGAATTGGATATTGTAATTCAGATATTTGAATTATTTTCCTCCAGGAGTCTAAAGTGGAACATATTTAATTATTTATTAAGCAAATCTATATGACTTCCTATCTCAAGAAAAGTGACTGTGGTAGAACATAATAGTCCAATAAAACAGTATGACCTGTTGATCCTTGACTTTTGACCAGCTATTTAGTGAGTGTTCATAGTTATGAAGGATCCCCCCCAAAGGTCTTTATGACTGAAGTTCCAACAGGCCCCGCCCTCTACAGTCTCATGACCACATTTTGGGCATTTGGCAACCAACTACAATTTACGGCATTGTTGCTGAAAACCAGAGTTTATTTCTGACTTTTGGCAAAAGCTCCCCATAGCAAGCAGTGGATTTGCATAATGACAGCAGTGCTTTGCTTAGCAACCACCACAAAAACCACCATAAAACCAGGTCAGTCATGTGGGAAATATATGATTCCACCCCCAATCCTTCCCCCAGTAGGTACAGAAAGTGATGTTGCATATGCTTTCTCCTTCTCTCTTTCGAGGAAAGAAAATTCCCAGAGCTTTCCATAAAAGGAGGAGAGCTTGTGAGGCCTATCCAATAACAGCAAGTGTTGATTAAAATAACACCTTGGCTTATATTTTAAAAAGTGCACAACCTCAGACTGCAGTAGTTTGGGTTATATCTGGTTATATTCCAACAAAGACCCAGTGGAGATTTGGAATGCAGCAGCCAAAGGGGCTGCAGAGTATTGGTGCCACAATTTACATGGTTGCCTTCTGCTCCCTTGGAACGAAAGAGAAGGTACAGATATCTCATCAAAAGAATACACTTTGAGCATGGACTAGAGTAACAAGAAATATATTTTGCACAATAAAAAAAAAATACCCGGAGAAACCAGCAGATTTCAGCAGAGTTTTCAGTGGGTTTTACTTACCAGCTTCATTCTCAAGATGGAGCAAATTCTCGTTGGCATTGGAATTATGCTTTGGCTTTGCCAGCTGCAGGCCAGCAAGGAGGGTCATAAAATCTACAACTGTGTCTATGCTTTCTTTGTTGGGTGAAATATCCTTGAGAGTACTCAGTACGCTCAGTCTACTGAAAGATTTGACTTCCGAGATGTTGGCCCGCAGGAAGAGTAAGATGATGTTGAGATCATTAAATGGGCAAGTCAGCATTTTCTTGCTCAGGAGATCAAATGCTGGCAGCATTTCATAAATGGACAGAAGCCGCTTGTCCCACTGACACAGCTGAAGCAGGTGGTAGAGGACAACTGGGCCCAGAAGGATGTACACAGACCCAAGGCAGATGCTGGTAACTTGGAAAACGGAGAAGAAAACCAGCTTGCAAGGAATCCAGTCTGGAACATCAGATTCTTCAAGAAGCCCTTCCTTGATTGAACATCTGAATTTATCGTGAAAAAAGACCTGCAAGTGACAGTATCCCAAGTAGAGGCAGCTGACAGCCAGAAGGAAGAGGAGGAAGAGGTTCCTCAATACGTAAATGATGACCAAGTAATGGGAACGTTGCTTGCAAGTCAGGTATCTCTCCAGGAGAGGGAACTCAAAGTATCTCTCACTGCGAGCCCTTGGGGGGAAAAACAAAACAAAAATAAGAATAAACTAGCACTCTTCTAGTGATGTGCTACTTTTTCCATGTGTGGGACTTAAAAACAACCAACCCAGAAGAGGACAGTCCTGGAGATTAATGAAGGATAACCTCAAGAACAGTCACTGCTATATACCTAGACAAATTCCTTGTGTGTCCAATCACACTTGGCCAATAAAAGAATTCTAATTCTAATACGAATGCAGGGAGAAATTTACAATGTAATGCTTTCTTATTGTCTGTGGTTTTGTGAGTGAAAATTCTGGGAACGGAAATGGAAATTTAGCATGCAGATCACAGATCCGCCTGTCACTTACAGGTCAAGCTCCTCCCAAAAATCCTCTGGATCCTCTTCCGATTGCTGGAGCTTCACCATGTATTGCACCAAGCGGATGGAACGATTGTAGGATTTATCTAGTTCATCAATGATGAAGAACAAATCGCAGTTGAGTGAGGGGGCAGCTGCATACTTCCACAGCAGATAAGGCAGGTACATGGCAACTGCAATGACCAGCAAAGAATATGGGAAGACCTAGAAAAACAGAACGAGAAGAGTGTGGTCGGCTGAAGGGTAGAACAGCGTTTCTCAACCTTGGTCACTTGAAGAGGGGTGGACTTCAATTTCCAGAATTCCTGGGAGTTGGAAGTTCACCCCTTTTAAAGCGGCCAAGATTGAGATACACTGGGGTAGACTACTACCAATTATGCCCTGGGATCCACATGTTGTGCACCCAAGAGATAACAGATGGCGTTCTTCACCCCGATACCTTGAAGACCCAGAGGGAATTGGATGCAGCATCTCTTGCAGGTTCAGAATTGTAGCGAAGCAAGGAGTCCCAGCACACGGCATCAACAAAATGAGACTGCTCTGCTGTGAAGTTGCTAGGAGAGAAGCAACTGATTTGGGATCCTGTGATAGAGAAAGAGAATCATACTCATCTTCATCCTTCTTTCTAACACTGCAACATCCATCAGCTTCTTCTATGATAGTAAAAACAGAGAGCTTCTCTGCTATGTTTTGAACCACCTTCGGCATGGACGGTCTTTGCAGTCTTATCAAGATGAGATCCGCGCCCAACCTTAATCCCTCTTAGCCAACATTTGGCATCAAACTGCTCCCCATTTTTTAAAGTAATGAAGAAATTGGGCCCATTATGCTGTCCCTACTGTGGCAGTTCTTGTAAACTCTGTTCATCATCTCTGTGGGCTGGGTGTGCTAAAAAAAAAAAAAATCAATCCCTAAAAATATTTTACAAGCTTTGAGGCAAGCCAGAGAGAGAAATAAGTTTTGTTTATTCCATCTGGATCGACTAAACCTCACACAGGCATTCTTTTCCAGAAATGAATTCCTGAGGCAGGCTGTGAAATTGCAGCCATGAAACCTCATCTAACCAATGTCAGATTTGTGCAAAACCACACACGGATCATCCTGTTTTGGGTACATACTATCAAACGAGACACTGTTGCTTCTGGAATAGGTACCTTTATGTCTTCCCTTATTCAGTGTAATGCTGGTTCTTCTGAATTATCTCTTTTGCGGTGTTTAATGGGGCTTGTTTCCAAGGAAAAATACCTGGAATTGCAGCTACCAAACTTAATGGGAGTTATTTTGAAAAAGAAACATCAGTATTCCAGTGTCTCTTTTCCAAGATACATATTTGGATTCAGCCCTTGCATCACAAAAATCTCACTGAAAGATAGCAGTGATTGAACTTCATGACTGGGTGAAAATTTGAAGCTGGATTTCTCCAAGCTACTCCAACTGACATTCTCTAAATCTGTTGGAACTGTCATCTCAGAACTTCCCCTTTGTTGGTTGGAGAAGCCCATTGGATAAGAACTGCAATCAGCTACTACCTACTGCAATGAAATCCTGTATACGGAATAATTTTTAACTGTGTCTCTGAAACATCTAATTTTCCCTATATTAGAAGCAACACTCAGGCTGATGATTGACATGTTTTCTTCATAACTGTCCGCTAGAAGTAAAATCACATCACGGTCCGCTAGAAGTAAAATGTCTAATGTCACAATTTTAAGTTGAGAGGAGATTTCACATTTTATATATTAAAATTGTACGGTGTGGTTTGAATGCGCTTCATAATTCAATCCTATATTTATTGAAGTCCCACAGTGAATCCAGAGAGTCAAGGCTTCAGATACGAAACTCCTGGATTGATTTTGCAAATGCTACATTCAGTATCGAAATCTGTTTCAAGTTAGCGTACTGGGCTTGCAGTAAACTCATTTTTTAAAAAAAGAATGAACATGTTGTCCTTGCCCCCCCTGCTGGCATCTCCCTCAGCCCCTCGGAAGGCCTCGAGAAACAACTGGTCACCCCTCCACCCTCTTCAAAGAATAATAAATCGACCTACCAGTGGAAAATTCCTGGGCAAACATGAGAGACACCAAGAAGAGTGGGAGCCCCACTGTGACAAACTTCATGATGCGATCGCATGGCAGCTCCAAGTGAAGCCCTTTTGCTCTGGGCCTGTTTGGCTCTGGCAGCAGCGCATCCGAGAGCATGTAATTGCCAGCCGTGTGTGCAATTGACATGGTTCTGTTCTAAAGGGGCCAAGCATGCACACAACAGGAGAGGCAGCCTCTCCAAGGGCTCAGCTACATCTAAGGTGGGAGATGTCTTGACGATGGATGCCTTAGGTTTCCTCCATGGGGAATTAAGCATCAGGCAGTTGTAAATGACCAGCTTGGCTGTTTGCTAAACAGAATGATAATTACAGGGCAACCTGTTCTCTGCAACTACCCTCAGCCCAGAAATAGAGCCGTTGACTGGGGGTATGCTGTGATTGGTAAAGGACTCCACTGTTTCTGGCCAACCACAGGCTTAACATGGCAAGGCTGGGCCGTGTGGTTTTATCTCCCTCTTTCATAAGCAGATGTTATTTCTAGCCACCACTGGTAAAGAGGTAGGGCAGTGTATTCGATTTTCAGATCCAGCAATTTCCAGGGGCGGGTATCAAATGGCTGGCCAACAGTTTATATCTTAAAAGGTGAAGGTGGGAGAGAGAATCCCACTCAGAACACCTAAGGATTTTATTTTTGTGGTTTAGTAATGTGAATCTGCAACTCTTTTTTCTGTGTTTGCCATAAAACCAGATGATTCTAAAATTTCATTGCATTTTCCTCTTTCTCTCAACCTTCCCATCCCAGTTCTAAAACACAGTTATAAGGATCTGCAACTTAGATAATCCACAACTTGCATGTGGCCATCAGACAAATTACTGCTGCTCCTAAAGCATATTGCTTGAATTGGTGGCAAACCCAATTCCCAGCTGTGTGATTTTCTTTGCTAAAATAAGAAGCAAAATAACATGTTAAATCTCCAAAGCTTAACATATGGGAAGATTCCGGGCAACCTCAGAGTTTTCATGGGTTACTGCACATTTTTAGCACACTATAATTGATAAGGTAATTTTTCTCACACATACCATGTCTTCCCCCTCCATATTTATCCTAGTTAGCAATCTATGTCAGTTTAGGCATTCCCTGCATCTGAGGAACTGCTGTGTAATTCAGAAAAGTTTATGCTTTGATCATAGACTAACGTAACTCTCCTCCTGTAAACTGCAGTGGCTGAATTTGCATATATGTGGCTTTCTAGGGCTACCAAGACCTCCAATATTCTTTACACATAAATCAGTGTCCTGTTTTCTCCTCGAACTACTTCTGATTTTTATATAGTGCTACTCCTTTAATAAAGTTTGTCAGTGGACACCAACATATTTTTGCAGTAAATACAGTCAAGCCCAGTCATTCTAATTTTTGTAAGAACCATTCTAAATTATTTTAATAACACTTGTGAGATCACTTTATAGAAGATCAGAATATTCTTACTGCTACTGGATATATGCAATGCCACCCTTTAGAATGAAAAATGGGCCTAAAACCTCAAAATTTTTAAAAAATCAGAGATTAGCTAGTAGTTCTGAAATTTGGTATTTCCCAATATTATGCAATTATCCCACATTCCAGAAATACTGTAATAAAATGCCATTTACAGTTCTACTATCAGCCATAAAGTTAAATAATGGCATTTCCCTAGATTTGTAGCCCTAAATGCCACCACATGGTGTTTTACTCTAATATTAGAAAAAAAGAGAGTAATCAAAAGCAAATAAGATGGAAGTGGACTCGGGTTGCAGTTTTTGTAATGCTAAGCCCAAAAAGATAGCATATATACATATTATGCCCAAAAGTGATACATATGGTAGGAAAATACAGGAATCAAAAAGATACCAGAAATGAGTCAGTAGAGTCTCTAGATTTTTTTACTTAGTTATTTCCAATTCTCAATGTATGTGCATACCACATACACCCAAATCAACTGATGTTTTGTTTTAAAACCCTTAGCAGGAAACATGGTGGCTCATTGGCACCCACGCAATACAAAAGAATAATTATACTGTAAAATTACTTTTTTGAAGGGGTGAATTTCAAAGCATTTAACAGACAAAAAATGTTTATAAAGACTTGCCAGTGAGTATCAAATCTGTTTGAACCTTAAAATGTCTTCCCAGAATAGGTTTTCAACAAGGCAGTCTAGCAGGGCCCAAATGCTAACGGAAGTTGTCTTCCCTTATTTTAGGGTTGTGCTTCCCAAACATTTTGCTTCATTATCCAAAACCACTTATCAAAAAGACCTTTTTACCCAATGTAGGTAAACCATGTTTAGCCAATTTAAATGTCCCAGTTGTAATTGGTTTGTGTGGTATTACCTATAGATAAACCACTTTCACTCAATTTTGGGTTATTAACCTAGGTTTAAGGAATGCGATAACCAAAAAAATCCAGTGAAAGTAAAGATTGGCTTGTTGCAACTGGCAACTGAAGAGACAAAAGAAAGCAACAGCGATGCTTCAGTGATGCATTAAAACCATCCATGTTTGAGAATATGTAAGACATTTTGTGTAGGCTATCTGTAATCTTTACAATGCCTTTACAATAAAAGCCGTGGTGCTACCGTGGTTAGAATGCAGTACTGCAGGCTACTTCTGCTGCCTGCCAGCTGCCTGCAATTTGGCAGTTTGACTCTCACTAGCAGATCAATAGTCAGACTTGGGATAAAGCAGTTTTGTGTTCTATTGCAGTTGTGAGAGAAAATTGAGGTTGACTTTCCTAAGGCTATCCTATAAGCTCAAGGCAGAAGCGAGATATGAACCAAGAACTCCCCAATTCATAGCTCCATCAATTATTGCATACCCCAATCATAAGGAACCTCTGAGTATTCCTCTCCTCTCCCCAATATCTCTGTTCCAGTTACATCACATTCATTCAGCACAGGCCTCATCTTTTATTTAAGTAGACTAACTCTGTTTGACTAAGCGTCAGGTATATGTTGACTCTCAAATACTGAAAAAAACGTGCCCAACTAACTGTTATTCCAGGTATAGCAGCTCGTATAAATTGTATTAATCCTTTCAAATCTCCCAACTTCATCTGAAACCAGCAAACAGGCCCTGGGAGATCTGTGACCGTTCCTTGGTTCTATTTTCAGCTGCCAGACAGGAAGATTTCCTCTGAAAGGCTGCAAGCTTCCAGAGAAGCATATGTTGTGATTTTACAGCTGAGAACATCTGGTTCCAGGTGCTTCCCCTTTCATGGGGACTTTATAAAGTCAGGAAAAGGAGTCCCATTAACAAAGTAGCATAGCTAATCAGTCTTCATTTCTTTTTGTTCTGATTCTGAAAATTCTAGCTTTAGCCGTTTTAAGGAGAGCTTGAAGAAGATGGGTGGCTTGCAAAGTAAGTGGATTTTCTCCTCCTCGTTGCTGTTTATCGGAGGCAGGGTGAGCTTGCAGGCATGTAGGTGGAGAGGGAGGTAACGGGCTTTGACTTGTTCCAAACCCAGTTTCTTCAGTGTACCTTGAGAGAGTTTCTGTATGTGCATAAAAAAAAAAAAAAAGAAACGATGATCCACTTGCATTTCTAATTATGTTGAGTCCAACAAAATATTATTTGGCAATCCTAACTACCCTGAAGCCCATTTCACTCTATCGTGTTTTTGGATTTTAGTTCATGCCCACATCCACCCCGGGTTCTTCTTAATACCCCCCTCTTACCTGTGGGGCTAGCTTGCTCCAGTGAGAATACTTGTGATCCCCAAGGATTGGGCAACCTAAGCCATAAGCCAAGTGGACTCGGATTTGATGCTTCACTCCTGCATAATGAACAATGTATGGGGGGAAAAGGTAAGAGGCATAACTATTCAATATATTTGGTTGGTTTTGGTCAGTTACATAGTATGACTTTTATATGCAATTTATCTTGAGGGAAAATTTAAGCTTTGTTTGATTCAAACAGCTTGATATCCAAATTTTAGCAGAAAAAGGCAGAAAGGGATATCAGTTGTTTAATAATACAATGTCTTCCCTTAAGGGACATGCCAAGTATACAGATATTTCTCTTCTACCAGGCAGTTTTGTCTATTAACTTTGACCTTGTGTTATATTATACTAGGATAATAGCCTTTATATTTTCTTATTTCACTGTTTTTCTCAATTCTTCCATGCTTTTTGCAATATCTACCATTTTATTTACTATTGTAATGATGCAAATTTTTGATTATTGCATACATCAAACAATAATTAAGGCTTCAATCTGATAGCATTTCATTTAGTTTCAGTGGAAAAAAAACAAGATTAAAAAAAGGTCAGATTCTCAGATGCTTGAGGTTTATGGGTACTGATTTGATGTTTCTTAACACCAATTGTAAGAGAACAGGATAGGCAATGGGAAGCATCAAAGAAAGGGGCATGTAATTGCTTACCTGTGATTGGTTCCAATTCAAGAACAGAACAAGTGGACCAGCTGCTTAGCACACGATACCGAGTCACTGCCAACTGAGCATCTCTGTTCCGGCGCACTTTGCGCAACTTTTTGTCTTCTAAAGATAGACGATAATTTGGCGCAAGTGTCATCTAAGTTAAAAATGTACATGATTCAAAATCAATTCTTCATAACATCCAAAAAGCCAATAGGACAACAGTTGAGGAGATTAATAGGTTACATAGAACGGAGAAAACCGTTGAATTGCTCCACTGGTAATCCAGAACATCCAAAATCACCTCATTTAGGTATGGCAGCTAGAGGGGAACAGGCAACGTAAGAACTGTGGGCCTTTTAGAGACTAATGCTTGCTCTCAATTTGAAGTGGGCCCACCAGTTATACATAAGTATTAGTTATACATAAATATAAATATAGGAAAGCCAGTTTGATGTAGTGGTGAAGACATCAGGCCAGAAACTAGGAGACTGAGAGTTCTATTCCTACTTCAGGCATGAAGCCAAATGAGGGATCTTGGATCAGTCATCTCTCAGCCCTAGGATGAAGGCCATGGCAAACAACTTTTGAAATGTTATCTAGATTCTAAAAGACTGCAAGGACTTGTCAAGCCAGTTGCTAAGAATTAAGATTGATTTGAAGGCACTAACCCCTCTCCAAATAAAGCACCCCACAAATTAGTGCAATCATGGTACAGTAGTGATACTGTAGTAGAGGACGCGGTGGCTCAGTGGCTAAGACGCGAAGCTTGTCGATCAGAAAGGTCGGCGGTTCGAATCCCTAGCACCACATAACGGAGTGAGCTCCCGTTACTTGTCCCAGCTTCTGCCAACCTAGCAGTTCGAAAGCATGTAAAAAATGCAAGTAGAAAAATAGGGACCACTTTGGTGGGAAGGTTCCGTGCGTCTTCGGCGTTTAGTCATGCCCGACCACATGACCACGGAGACGTCTTCGGACAGCGCTGGATCTTTGGCTTTGTAACGGAGATCAGCACCACCCCCTAGAGCCGGAAATGACTAGCACGTATGTGCAAGGGGAACCTTTACCTTTACTTTAGTGATACTTAGGGTACAGGTTGTTCAGCACTTCTTTCAGGAACTGGTATCCATGTTGGTGAAGATGCTGGTGAGTTCCCTGAATCAAGGGTGCTAATCCTAAACCTGCATAAATGCTCTCCAGTAAGCAATAACTAAATCAGTGGTCTCCAAGCGAAATACTATGGCTACAACCGGCAAGTCTCTGCTGCCAGGAATACTCACTTTGAAATGCGACTGGTGGCTGTCCACTTTTTTCTCCATAATGGGAATGTCCACTATCCCTTCTTCCGGCTCTGGTTTTCCAATACAAATTGCCCTGTGAAAACAACAGGGAGGGATTTCAGTTCTCTCTAATAGTAAGCAACACTTTCTGCATGAAGACCAAGGGGCTGCTGGATTCTCCTCATACTATAATTCAAACTATAGAAGTGTGGTCCTTAGTAAATTCATGGCTTACTGAAAGTCAACATGATCAAGTCCCAATAACAAATTACTTGTCATTTGTAAGATTTCTCTTACCAGTATTTTTTTTCCACCTGACGGGTTTTGAACATCTCTTGGACCCGGTGTGCAATCATCTCATCTTTTGCTAAGACCATCACTCCAGTAGTTTCTTTGTCCAGCCGGTGACATAAATGCAGAGGTTCAGCTTTCATGCCATCTAACATCTTGGCCAGTACTGGCAGCACATCTGTAATGCATGTCTTCACCCCAGGGCCACCTGTGAAGCAGAGATAATCTAAGTTCACCTATAATGCAAAATCCCAGGTTACAAATAATTGTTAGGTTCATTTATTCCACTAAGCTAAACCAAACTATTTTACACTTAACACAAATCACATACTTTTCAAAGTTATGTTTTTTATTTATGCTACAGCATTTCCAAATTTGTGCATCAAACTCAAGTTGAACCAATTTCAGGAAAAAAATATATATTTTTATGTTAAGCTACTTGGGAAACACATATCAGTGTAATCTGAGTGTTGGGTGTTTTTTGCTGCCACTCCAATATCTATATTACCATGAAAACATAGATGCTCAGACAGATGATGAAGCTCAGGTTATTTTTATTGCTTTTAATACCAGTCTACACAGTATACCAAAACAAAAACAGTGTTTGCTTAGAGAATCGACAATATAAAGTATCTACCACATGTATAATTAGGAAGTCTCAAGCTACATTCTGAAAGCAAAATAAAACCTAGTTCCATAGTGTGATGACCCAGGGTGGGATACAAAAGCAACAAACTCACAAAAACAGGTAAAGTCCCTTTAATTCCTTCAATTTGGCTTCAAAGGTCCAATTATCATTGACTGGAGTAAAAACTCCCCCACAGAACTTCCATTCAAACTCAAAATACATATAACTAGAAAAAACAACAACACAAAGCACACTGAAGAATTAATGAGACAAGGCAGGATAAGGGCTTGAAGATGTCCACAGATATCGAAATACACACACTGGTAAGGATGCCAGAACTCAGATAAGAACTGGCAGACTATAAATATTTTCACGCTTTGCTTCCAGCATTGGTCCATGCGCAGTTTGTCCTTTTAAATAATCTTCACAGCTGCAGCCCATGAAGGGGATCAAGGCCCTTTCCTGCCCTGTAGACCATACCATTCACGTTTCTCCCTTATCTGCTCCTCCCTGCGTGCCCTAGGGTGAAGAGGGGATGGAACTGGGTATTCCTCTGAATGCCCAGCCGGCCTGTGCCCTTCCCCAGTTTCCTTCACAACCTCTGGAGCCACACTCCCTGTCAGCTGTTTCTCCTCTCCCCCAGAGTCAGATTCTAACAGGGGCATGACACACAGGATGAATTCCTATACAGCCTCAGTAACAGATACCAAAGCTTTTGATTTCCCAGCAGGACATTTATCACCCAACCAGTCTAATAAATTTTTATCAACATTACTAGAAAATCAGCATTATACTACACTTACCATGGACGGGAAGTCCATAAGGCTTGTTTATTACTACAATATCTTTGTTCGTATAGAGGATTCCCTTTTTGAGAACCTTGGCTAGGACGTTAGGATGGAGCTTCTGGAAGCATCGAGTCTGCTGAACATATTCTTGCACCCGCCTCAAGACTCGGTCTTTTGGAACCTTTGAATAGTCAATAAAGAACAAGTCAGATAGTTAGTCTCTTTATTGCTCAGCTTTGGTAGCAACAGCATACAACAAAGCAGAAATGAATAAAAGGCAAGGTGCCAAATAAGGTGGCACATAGAAAATACATATGTTAGAGGGATTTTTTTGTTTTTTTGGGGAAGGGTGAAAATGGATGTGTAGGTGCTATAGGACAAAATGATAGGATGGTTTAAGAGAGGGAGAGAGAGATAGCAGTTCTTCCATCTCATTTGTTTAAAAGTCTGCTTTTTCAACTTTGGAGAATCCACTGATTGGTATTCAAAGACAGATTCAAATAAATCTGATGGAACAAAACTGAACAGCTAAAGAGAATGTATACTCCAGCCAAGCTGAAGATTATTGCAGTTTGCTTTGATGCACTTTTAAAGTCCAGGAAAGCCTAAAATATAAATATTCCTATAAATATAAAATATGAAAGATTTTATTGGAAAGGTAACAGGATGTTGGGCAAAGAAATGCTATGAATAGGAAGGATAGTCACATCTATGTGTGTATACGTGTGTCTATGCATAATGGTTATCTTTTGAGAGCTGAATGCAACGAAATTTCCTTTTAATGTATGCCGATTAGTCTACGTTTAAAGTGCCAAAGTTTTATTCTACCTGTCCAGAGCCAAATCACTAGTCAGATCGGGACAAACAGTGTCTTTAAATGGTCTTCCCAATGGAAGCTGTTATGGAACAGCTTGCCCTCGGAAGCTGTGGGAACGTCATCCCTTGAGACTTTCAAGAAGTGTTGTGCCATTTGTCAGAAATGGTGTAGTGCCTCCCGCTTGGGCAGGGGATTGGACTAGATCAAGGGTCTCCAACCTTGGCCATTTTAAGCCTGGAGGACTTCAACTCCCAGAATTCCCTAGCCAGCAAAGCTGGCTGAGGAACTGGGAGTTGAAGTCCACAAGTCTTAAAGTGGCCACGGTTGGAGACCCCTGGACTAGATTTATTTATTTATTTATTTATTTGATTTGCCAATTGTTTACAAGATAATAAGTATAAGTGAATACATAGTTGTGAATACATGAAATGGGTACATATAAGAAAAATAAAAGAAGAATAAGAGAAACAATAGGACAGGGACGGTAGGCACGTTGGTGCACTTATGCACGCCCCCTACAGACCTCTTAGGAAAGGGGTGAGGTCAATAGTAGACAGTCTAAGGTTAAAGTTTTTGGGGTTTGGGGAAGAAACTACAGAGTCGGGTTGAGTATTCCAGACATTGACCACTCTATTGCTGAAGTCATATTTCCTGCAATCAAGTTTGGTGCGGTTAACATTGAGTTTGTATCTATTGTGTGCTCTTGTGTTGTTATGGTTGAAGCTGAAGTATTCATTGACAGGTAGGACATTGCAATGTATGATTTTATATACCATGCTTAAATCAGACCGAAGACGGCGTAATTCAAGGTTTTCTAGGTCTAGAATTTCAAGTCTGGTGGCATAAGGTATTCTACAACGAGTAGAGGAGTGGAGAACTCTTCTTGTGAAATATTTCTGGACTTTCTCAATTCCAACTGATTATCTGTTATCTGAGTCCTTCCCAGTGAACAGGGAGGATAACACACGTCCTTATTCCTGCATCTCAACAAATCTAGCATTTTGCACTTCACAAAACTTCCATTGCTGCATTGCACATAAATTCGCTTAATTTTCAGAGTTCTGGCCCCCAATGCACGCTGGGAAGTGTAGTTTCTCCGTGGCGCATGCTAGGAAAATCGCCCCCCCCCTCCACTTTATAATTCCCAGTCAAGCCCACAGATTCACCTCCGGGACCGCTTTTGGCTTCTTCTGTTCCCGCAGCTTCTCCGCCATCTGCTCGGCGGTCACCGGAGCGGCCACGGCTGGACTGTGGGCAAACCCCCGAACAGCCGCTCGTAGGAAAGAGCAAGGGAAGTTCTGGGCAGCCATTTTCTGTCGTGCCCACGTGACGTCCGAAGGGGGTTGGGCTCCACTTCCACGACCCACCCCCTTCTCTCGCGGGCTATCCTCGCGCCTTGCCCGAAGAAGGCCCACCAATCGCGGCGTTCGGGAGAGGAGCACTCTCCTTTCCAATGAGACGTCGGTGCGACGCTCTATGCCGTCTCTCCCCGTCCAATAATCTACGCGGAGGGGCGGAGCAAAGCTGGGCAGGCCAATGAGAAAGAAAGGAGCCGGAGGCCTTGCAGCCAATAGCAGCGTGCCGGCGGGCGAGGTGGCTCTTGTTTTCCCTTGTGGGGGTTTCAAAGAACGGCAGTTGAGGAGCGGCGTTAACGGTTGTCGGGCAGCCGGGAAGGCGGCGCGGGCGAGGCGGTGGCTAGGTACTCGCGGCGGGACCGAGGCTCAACACGCTCAGGAAGGAAGGCTGGTGGATTCGGAGCCGGTTAGAAGGAGGGGAAACCATGAAAGCACGAGGCTGAGGAGGAAAAACAAACAAACAAACCACCCTCACTTTCTGAGGAGTTTTAGTCCTCGCTTTCAAGCCTCGGAACCAGCGTTTTTCCAAGGGTGGGCTTCAGCCCCTCAGCATGCTGACTGGGGGCATTCTGGGAGTTGAAGTCCCCACGGAGTTGCCGAGGTTGAGAAAACGTGGCTTTTAAACCCCTTCTGCGAATGGGAAAGTTACAAATTCTCCGCCTCAGAAGCCCCTTCGGATGGGGGTTTCCTTCGCTGTCTCCCGGTTAATATTAAGCGGAGAACGGTTGCTGAAGACGGCCTGGAAGGTTCCTTCGCAGTAAATGTTCATTTTAATAATATATGTGACCTATATACTTGCAGGGGTCTCCAACCTTGGCAACTTTAAGTTTGGAGGACTTCAACTCCCAGAATGCCCCAGCCAGCTTTGCTGGCTGGGGCATTCTGGGAGTTGAAGTCCTC